TCCAGGCTTTAAAGGGTTAATGGCATTGCCTAGTCGGTGCAGGAGCGTTTGCAGCGCAGATCTCCATTGCAGACTTCTGCAGCGGCACGCAGCACATCCCCTTTTTTGACCCCCGTTTTTTTCTCTCTCTTTTTCATCCCCAGCCAGCCGGGTGTCTGAATGGGAAGAGCATGCAAGAAAAGAAAAAAAGAAAAACCATAAAAAGCACACATGAAAGACAATTTAAAATCCCATAAAGCTTTGAGGATATTATTTCTATTAAAGCAACAGGTCATAAATTATTTTCTGAATCATGACTCCACATTTATTAGGTGCAAAGTCCATTATTTATCGTAGTATAAAAAAATAATTAAATAAAAAAATCAAAAACATGCAATTCATAATTTTCACAAAATTTCAAGCCTTTATATCAGCAGCGCTTGCAGATGAACCTTATAGTTTTAATTATGCCCATCATGACTCAGGGGCCCATGTGTGAGGGACGTGCGGCTCTGCACGTCTGCAAGGTCTAACAATAAACCCAAAAATGCCACCAGCGGTGATTCCTCGGTAAAGACAGAAAGTTACCTCACAAATAAAAGCATTTAAATGAAAAATATAAAAAAATATATTAAGGTCATTTTACAATACTGTTTCATTTCAAATAAAAATCAAGGAATTGTATATTTTTTACAAAACGTTTGAAAAAAAACCCCATAAAAACAAATATATATTAAAATACTTTAATTTAAATTATTTCTTAAATTATAATCCTAAAGTGTTTCATATATATATATATATAACCTTATGTAACGATTAAATTACAAAATATTGCGAAGGAGGGGACGTTTTAAAAGGCTTTTGCATTTACCACAATGAAAAAAGCAATATATATATATATATATTTTTTAATTAACGTCAAATATAAAAAAAAAATAAAAATGAAAGAAATATGATTATATGATAAAAATGGGTCATAATTAAAAATTAAAACTAAGCTTCGTTTTATAAAAGTTTTTTATTTTCCAAAAAAATCTAATAGTATTGTTTAAAAAACATATTATTAGATATACTAATAAACATACTATTAAAAAACATAGAATTAAAGGTTGAAATAAAAATAAAAAGTTTATAAAACAGGTTTTATTTTTTAAATAAAGCAGTTTGGCTATTAATATACTCACCGCTAGGTGGCGCTGTGATGTCCTAGTTGAAACCTGAACCCTCTTGCATCAGTGTCTCGTATGTTTGTTTACGCATGCGTGAATTACGGCTGGCTTCGTCACAGCATCACGTTGCTTTGCCGGCTTAAATAGCGGATGTGTGCCGCAGACCGGCAGATTAGCTCAGTGAGCAGTGAAGGACAAGGCCAGTCAAGCTTCGGCTCAGACTACTTCCCGCTTATCTTCAATCATTTTTATTCAATCCTCGGGATTAAAACGACCTCCTTCCGTCGTAACTGTGTGCTTTTTATTCAGCTCCTAAAGGAATGCCAAGAGAGCTCACCCAGAACAGGATCCAAAAGATCTGGGTTCCCACCAAGGATGACAAGCGAAGAGGTAAGAAAATCTCTCAAGGTGATGCTCATCCCGCGGAACTATGCGTTTTTTTTCACATTATGTCAGCTTTGTCCTTTTTCATCTATGATGGCGGCCTTAAAATTCGGTGCCGTAGCATGCGTACCTCGTTTTTTTTTTTCTTTTCTTTTTTTATACGCAAACCACCGGCATTTTTAAATTTGCAGCCTGGTGATTGGTGGTCCTTATCGGCACATGGTCTACGTCACCGTGCACTCGGTGAACTGTGCCGCTGGAGGAAGCACCTGTTACCATGGCGACCGTAACCCCCTGCTTTCAGATTCCTGGACATGACGACGGAGAAGTTTTGCTATTGGTCAGCCCGGGTTTCTGAATTTCTGACGAACTGTTTCGAAACTACGCAGTTAAATAAAATGAGTCTGTTATTTTGTATTAATTATTTATTATTATATTATATATAGATATATATTTTACGAAAAGCAAACAAATTAAAGACAAAACAATTAGTTATTCAACCAGTGACGTAGCGAGCGGATGCTAAATTAAGTAAATAAAACAGGAAGTGACAGATCTGTGTTAGCTTCAAGCTATGGGAGCCCGATTTTATCTGCTTTTTAGTTTAAAACCTTTTGAAAAAACGTGAAAATTTGAGGGAGGAAAAAGTAGGAAATATGTTTGCATTTTAATGCTGTATGATATATGCATGTTTCTGGTGTAATGTTTAAAGAAATGGCTAAATTATACACTTGCATAACAGAATCAGTAGTAACACTTGTTTTGATAATTTATTGGTGAATCCTCATAAATTGACTCATTTAAGGATTGATGCATTTACTATATTAACTGGGGGGAAATGACAAAAATTGTCTTTTACAGAATCCTGCTAGTCAATTATTTTAGACTTAAACCCATTTTTGCAGTTTTTTTATTATTTGATGGGAACTGACATTTCCAGCTGGAATATCTGATTCTAATGAATGAGTTCAGAGTTTGGTTTGTTTTTCCACGTTGAGGTCTAATGTTATGGAAACAAGATTAACCAAAGCGGTGACGAAGTGTAAACGAGCCTCTTGGGAGAACATCGGGGAGCAGCAGGAATGGTGCCAAATGTGCACTTGTCAGATTTTTGCATATTTGCCATCAGTTTGTTTGAATTGTGCATAATCATTTATTTCCTGAAGTGGGTCAAATGCAGTGAGGTGGAATTGAAGGATAACTATTCATGACTCCTTCCCTCTCGGCAGGAACTGGAGCCCCCCACTTCGCCAACCCCCCGACCGTCATTGTGATGGTGGGGCTTCCTGCTCGAGGAAAGACGTACATTTCCAAGAAGCTCACCCGCTACCTCAACTGGATCGGCATACCCACCAAAGGTACATAGCGACCCCCCCCTTGGAGTCATGTTTCTGTCAGGGACATAGCGTTCATGGTTCGTCTCCCCTCTTTCTGTGTCCTCTGCAGTTTTTAACGTTGGAGAGTACCGCAGGGAGGCTGTAAAGAATTACAGCTCCTATGACTTCTTCAAGCCTGATAACGAGTCCGCCGTGAAAATCAGACAGTAGGTCTCTCCTTTAGTCACATTGCTTTACTTCCTATATGGTTCTCTCCCTTTAATATTCATTTAATATTTCTATTTTCAGGCAGTGTGCCTTAGCAGCTTTGAGGGACGTCAAATCCTACCTGAAGGATGAGGGAGGCCAGGCGGCGGTGAGTTTGCTCGCCGCTTTCAGAAAGACTACATTAAACCAGAACATCATTTAAATTGACTCTTATGATTCTTCCAGGTTTTTGACGCCACAAACACTACGAGAGATCGGCGGGATCTGATCCTCCAGTTTGGCATCGAGAACGACTTTAAGGTACGGGTTTAGGTATGGAGGGAATTTTGTTCCATTATTGTTGCAAAGAACATGGTTTGGGGGAAAAAAACCAAAATGAGATCATTTAAACTTTTTTTTTTTTCTCATCCAAACTTCTTTTTGTTTTGTTTTTACAGTGTGTATTCTTTTTCAAAATTTGCTTTCCAGATTATATTCCAAACAATCCCATGACCAATAAACATGTTGTAGCTAACAGACCAATAGAAATGCATCTGGGCTGCATTTAGTAAAATTTGATATAAACAAAAAAATATGATGTGGTGTGTGTGTGTGTTTTATTTTTATTTTTTTAATGGACGAGTGTCATTTCTGGATTTTCCAATTACAAAATCTGTTCTTTGCATCAATGTTAGAACTGAATTCTCTCTATATTTGGGTCAATGGTCTCTCAAAGGTTTGATTAAATCTGAATTTGTTTCTAATCTCCAGATCTTCTTCATCGAGTCCGTATGTGAAGATCCCAGCGTCATCGCATCAAACATCATGGTGAGTTAAACCTCACGACTCCTGCCTGTTTTTGTTCACCATGAAGGGCTGCGTCATTTAAAAGCCCGCTGATCAATGAAACAGTTCCTCACGTCTTTGTTTCTGTCTGGAACCGGGCGCGTCGTTTGCCGTCTGACAGTTTTCCTCCCCGTACAGGAAGTGAAGGTGTCCTGTCCGGACTACAAGGACTGCAACAAGACGGAGGCCATGATGGATTTCCAGAAGAGGATCGAATGCTACAGAACCAGCTACCAGCCGCTGGACCCAGATCACTACGACAGGTATGGAGTTTAGCTCCGCCTGCTGATTCGGATGCATCCTCCCGGGCCGACCGCTCACCCTCTCCTCTCTGCAGGGATAACTCCTTCATCAAGGTAATAGATGTGGGGCGGCGTTTCCTTGTCAACAAGATCCAGGATCACATTCAGAGTAAGATCGTCTACTACCTGATGAACATCCACGTCCAGCCGCGCACCATCTACCTGTGTCGACACGGAGAAAGCACCGACAACCTGGAGGGACGTCTGGGAGGCGACGCCGGGCTCTCGCCGCGGGGCCGACAGGTACGACCCGCCGCCCAGTGGTTCTCTAACCCCTTAAACCCAGTGTTTGACATCCGTCTGCTTCCTTCTTGCAGTTCTCGGCCGCCTTGGCTCGGTTCGTTCAGGAGCAGCAGCTGAAGGACCTGAAGGTGTGGACCAGCCAGCTGTGCCGCAGCATCCAGACGGCGGAGCACCTGGGAGTCCCCTACGAGCAGTGGAAGGCGCTGAATGAGATTGACGCGGTGAGTGTCGCCCCTAGAAACGCCTTCCAATCGCCGCCGTTCTCCGTCTGATGGAGACGATCTGTGTTTTTAGGGGATGTGTGAGGAGATGACGTATGACGAAGTGAAGGAGAAATTTCCTGAGGAGTTCGCCCTGAGAGACGAAGACAAATACTACTACCGCTACCCAGCCGGAGAGGTACGGCAGCCCTAAAGGGTTGGTTTGGTGACATGTGAGCAGGACGAGGAGTTTTAACTGTCCGCTCTCAATTCCAGTCCTACCAGGACCTGGTCCAGCGGGTGGAGCCGGTGATCATGGAGCTGGAGAGGCAGGAGAACGTCCTGGTGATCTGCCATCAGGCCGTGATGCGCTGCCTGCTCGCCTACTTCCTGGATAAGAGTGCAGGTAGGAATCAGCGCCGGCGTCTGCATTAATCCGGATCCTTTCCTGCTTTCTAACGTTGTGCTGCTTTCAGATGAGATGCCGTACCTGAAGTGTCCGCTCCACACAGTGCTGAAGCTGACCCCGGTGGCCTACGGCTGCAAGGTGGAGTCCATCAGTCTGAACGTGGAGGCGGTGAACACCCACAGGGACAGACCCGAGGTACGACCTCCCACCGCCGCCAGTTTAGATTAAGGCTTTAAACCTGGATTATCTGACTCTCCGGCCTCCTCCGCCCTACAGGAGGTGAGGAGGGGCCCCGGCACGCTGATCAGGAGGAACAGCGTCACCCCTCTGACCAGCCCAGAGTCCAACATCAAGAAGCCGCGCATCGAGGACCTGGACGAGGCTCCCATCCAGGAGCTGCCCAGCTCGGTGGCGTCGCTCGCCCTCTGCGCCTCCTCACAATTCCCCCTCGCTCTGGCCGGACAGGTATGCCTCCAAACTCCTCCTCCTGCATGCATTCCCTCACCGTCATTCTCTGCATGTCCGCTCTCTCTCATTCGTTTGTCGCCCTCCTTTACGCCTCGCAGCGCTGGCTGGGCCAAGTCTGCCTGTAAGTATCAGATGAAGCTCATTCATAACTCAGAGCTGAATCATTGGGGGGGAAATGATGCAATCTGCTGTTGTGGAAGTGAAAACCAGAGCAGATTCATATGGAAATGAGACTTCCCAGCATCACATTCCTGTCATTCCTCTGCTGTGTCGTCACTGTCCGTCTCTCTGTCTCTGGTTCACCTCTGCTCCTCATAGACGCACCATCCTCCACTATCTAAAGGTGGTTTTCCATCTTAGCTGTCAAAGGTAAATGTGGATCTGCATCCGCTTGGTTCAAGTATTCACACCCTCCATAATCAAACCAGATGACTGATTAAAACGATCAGCTAATTAGATTGATAGAAGGAATCAAACTTGGAGAAAAACTAAAAATGCAAAATTTTCATTTAAGATCAGATTTTATTTTTTTTTCTCCCCAAATTCAAACCTTTTTCTTGTTGATTTAATAGGGTGTGAATACTTATGCATGGCCTCAACCTCTTGCTTAAAGAAAACCCCTCTAAATATTCCAGTTTCTGTTTCTTTAAGCTGCCTGCTTCAGTAGCTACCGGAGCTAACCAGTTTGAGCTGGTTCTGGTGGCGCACTGGGAAAGAATGAGCTTGTAGAATAGAAACCTGCGGGCACGCCCATAAAGTTGGTTTGAGGTGTGATCCGGCCTCAGGGCGTCTCTGCCGCGGGAAGCTGAACTCTCCGTCTGTTTCTGCAGAACCTGAGAGGCTCGTCCGTTTGCCACGACATCCTGCAGCCCTGCTAGCGCCGGGAGCGGACCGCTGGGACCCCGAGGCGGAACCAGTGAAACCACCTGCTTCATCTTTATCAACACAACTTGGATGTTTGTTTTGTTGTTTTTTGTTTTTGCCTCATTGTCAGACTTTGCTCCAACCTGCAGACTCTGTGGCTCCTTTAGTCTTTATTACTGACTGACCAACTGGATGATGGTTTCAGACCAAAGACTAAACTAATAGTTTTAAATCCATTTTTTTGTTTTTTTGCCCCCCTCCTTTACGACCTTGCGGTTCAGTTAATAACCTATTTATCGTCATAAAGGCCGTGTTTATAAATCATGGCGTAATCCTCTGTATGCTGACATGTTACAAACCAAGCAACATTTTGCACATATTTTATTTCGCCGTAGAGTGCCTGTAGCGCTCGCTTTGTAATTCAGACGCTGCTCCTCTCGCCGTCTGGACTCTCAGAATTTCAACATTTCACCTAATAACTCTACATATCATTTCAATGCGCTACTTTTTCTTTAGTCTTTTAAATTGTGTGTAGTTTCTCTAACCTTTTTTTGTGGAAAATATGATTGATTTCATTATTCGCCGTCATTGACTGCTATGCACAAAAAGAAGCACCTATTTTTGTTACACTACTGTTAATATTCTGTAAATGTTGGTGTACATATGGTGGAACTGGACTGGGATGTTATTAGAGTCATGGGGGGATTTTTGTTTTATACTAAAGTGTTTGAGACTGGAAATAAGCCGATGCTCTTCTGTTTGTTTGAGATACTTGAAATGTTCCTTTTTTGTTAGTTTTATTTATATTTATGTAGTCTTGAATGGATGTGCACATGATTGTTGTACAGTTAATTTTTGCATTTGTTGGTACAATAAAATCACGTGGGGAGAATTTCCAGTCAATGTTTTCCTTTTTTTTCCCCCTCTATGATCGGAATGCTCCTCGCTTCCATATAAGGACACGCTCTGCAGCAGAGGCGGTGCATTTATGGCTGTTTTCCAATTACTATCACTGATGAATCATGCTGCTCGTGGCGACTATCTGCATTCAGGAAGCTGCTTTCATAAACTGTTTAAAATGTCATCAGTGAAAGCAGAAGGAAAGCCTAAAATAGACCAACTTTAACAAGAAAATTCATTTTTCATAACTATACATAAATAGTGGTGGCGGTGTCATGCTGAGGGGTTAACAAGCAGAAGTTAATCTTATTCCAATGAGGAATATCATGAAAAGTCTTAAGTCAAATTTCTCTATCCAGTCTGAGAATGAGGCAAAACATTTAAAGATGGACTTTAAAAGGCCTTCAGCAAAAATTGGCTAAAAAGAATCGAATCGTTAGGCTTTACAGATACGGAGTGAATTTTGCTCCATTATTGTTTCAGTAAAGGATGCCTTCTGTAAATAGAAATTCAAATAAAATGTAATTCAGAAACAAGGCTTTGAACTCATTTTAAAAGATTTCGAGAGTAACGTTACTGGTCGACCATCCAGGGTTACAATAATGGTTGAATGGACTAAGCTGTTTGCTCAGATTTTTTTTTTTCCCAAATTGTTTTTATAAAAGCAGTTCTACAAATTGTATTTTGTTATTCACATTCTATGTACTTAAATCCCTACCAATGAAATAGTTGCTTATGTCCATGCAGACCAATAGAAACACGTCTTTGGTCTTCACTCCAAAGGCGAAGCCCCCTGAAGTAAAGAGAATATGATCTGGAAAACAAAATGAGGGAAAAAAAATTGATTTGTAGTTTGAAATTTTTGTTTTTCGAAAATATAAAATTTGTAAAAAAAAAAAAGAGAAAATACAAAATCTGTAAACAAAGAAAATTGAGAAATCAAAGATATTCTCCAATCCTTTTCTGGGTTTCAATGTTTTTCAAAGTTTAATTTATGGTTTCGAATTTTTACATTTCCATTTACAAAACATGTTCTTTGCTTGTAACAATAACAGAACAAAATTCACTCCATATAATTGGATGTATCCTAAACCATTTCTCATTATTCTTCCCCATAACTTGGTTTGTAGCATAAAATTCCTTCTTAGTCCTTTAAATGTGGGGGTTTTGAGTCGACCTCTGAATACTTGTTCAACCTGAGTGTGAATGCATGTGTGCATAATCTGTTTAATACCAGATTATTTCATGTTAGGGACAAGTTTGAGACTAATACAGTGAGATCTGACACCTTGTCTGCAACAAACTGATCAGTCTGGGAATGAAATTCACTAAAAGCTTCACTAACCCTGTTTTCAAGTGTCAGATGGACTGTTTTTCACAGACCAAGTGGGCCAGTTGGTTTGCAGCTCTTAGTTACCTGACCGAGGAGGATCAATGGCCGTCCTCCGTCAGAGCCTCATTAACAGGCTATTTGTGGCGTAGTCAAGCTTGTTAATGCTGAGGTCATGTACCATTCAGGATCCTGACACAGCAGCTCCTATCTCCCACAGAGATTACCCTCACACAAACATCCTCCCATGCAAAAACCTCATGCAGGTCTGCAACAGGCTGCAGTTGCCCGGACGACATGTTAGTTTGCTGAAGCTCATTAGGTTCACCTTACAGGAGAAGAAGGAAATTAGATGCAAAATGGTGGATGCTGACTTGCATGTAGGGAAAGTAGCCCAGAGGGGACCAACAATATGCAAAGTCTGCATGTAAACCTGCAAGTTTTAGAGGAAGCAGAAGTCTGTCAGGAGGTGGATCGCTGTTGTTTACTTTCTTATGTGATGTTTAGCCTCCAGAACTAAGAAGGACCTACATCCTTCAATACCACAAAAGTAGGAGAGGATTTATAAATGTAAATCATGTGTTATTCTATGAATAATCCTATGAATAGCCTCACTTTTATGAAGAAGTTTGAGATCTAGACTTGGAATACTCACTCCCAGAATTGAGTCAATAGATTAAGTATGGGGTCAATGAAAAGGTATGAATCAGTGTCTGAATTTGTAAATACATTTAAGATCTGTATTTGTTTCCAGTTTCTACTCATACATGTGCTACAAGTTTAGAAGTTACAATTCTGCAAAACCACCAGTACGAATCTACAGCTGTTTCGCTCCTTACCAGTTGGTGGCAGTAATGCGTCTAAAGACGGTTTGCCAACTGTTATCCAACGAGTAAAAGAGGAACAAAAAAAAAACAGAACCAATGGGTGTGTTCGATTTCAGAGGCTGCATCCTCCAAGGACCCGGTCTATCTGGACTGAGTCCTTCGAGGCCAGACTTTCGGCTGTGGTTTCAAACAGGTCCATCCTTCCCTGGCTTTCGCCGCCCATACGCTCTGTTGCCTAGAAGTTGACAATTGACACACAAAGCAGGCAAAGAATTGATACTGAACTTCTTGCTACTGTTCTGTTCGCTAATAACATCTCTGAGGAGCTTCAGCAGCAGTACCATCATCGCAGATATCATAGTTATAGTTCCCACACTGTTGAAATATTGGAATCTGTGCTTAAATATCAGCCAAACTCATTTACAGAGAGACGGATAAAACCTTTCAATAAACCAAACATTACCCGCCACATATCTGACCCAATAAACATTTAAAACAATCATTTTTATTCATTTCAGACGGAATTATTCACATACCTATATTAAACTGCACTTTCAATCTTCACCACTGTTTGGCGCCATGTATCTTTTTCCTCTGATCACAGAGCAGCCGGCTTCCTAGGACTCGCAATGAATCATGGGATACCCAAAGCTACAGAGGATACACCAGACCCGTCCTTTAAAAAGAAGGACGCATTCGTCGGATGCATAACGAAGAGTCTTCCAATCCAAACAGACCTCTGCGTCGCGTTATAACATAATTGGCCGACGAATCTGGCCTGCGGAAGAAGCAGCCTCTGAATTCGAACTCAGCATTGGTCATTTTGAAAGACTTGAAGACTTTAAAGCCACTCTAACCTTTAGCCACTGGGGGTGCTTAAGCTGTAACTTCCAGGAAAATCTTGTCAGGTCACATGACCCATTTAGTGGCCATCCGACCCGCTCAGGTTACATAAACGAGTTCTTAAGAAGAGCCGCCTGTATGGAGCGTTAAAACGCACCAAGCTCTAAATATTGATCTGAAAAATCAACTTAAGGTAATACTTGGGTCAAAAGTCACACAGTGTTGCTTTAATTAGGTTGTATTTTATATTGGAGTCTCCTCCTTTCATTTAATTCATACGTTCTATAATTCCCACCTTTTTTCAACTGAATTAATTGCTGTAATAATGCAGCTAATGGGTCCTAACATCTGTTTTTGATTTTCTATATGGGGAAAATTCAGCATGTAAGACTATGACTCAGATCAGGTGGGTTCCCTCTATGCATGCAGACCCTAGCTTTAACTCCGTCTCACTTTACCAAATTCTAACGTGCACATTCAGTTCCCCCATATTCACATTTAGGGGGATTAGGATTAAGTATTTAATGATAAAAGTGGGCAGAATTACCATTTCCTACCGCGGCGTACTTGTATATGTTACCTATTTAGGACAGTTTTCTGTCGCCTTGCAGGGACCAAATGTTGGTCCTAATGTGGCAGATCCCGTTTTTTTTACCCTAAAGAGTCAATTTAGAGTTATGGTGTGAATTCACTTTAGGTTAAAGTTTGGATTAGGAATATACTGAAAATGGTTAAGCTTAAATGCAGTAACTAAAAGGATTGCAAGTCAATGTAGAGTCTAAATAAGGATAGAAATGCAAACTTGAGTGTGTGTGTGGTGGGGGTGTGATGAAGCAGGGTTCCAAAGAGGAGGAGCTCTGAAGTGGTAAACCTGACAGCAGTCACATAGCCTCCTTGACCACAGCATGACCAGACGGAGCCGTAAAACTGAATCTGTTCATCCAGGAAAAAAGGCAGTCAAGTGTGATTCACTGTGTGTGTCTGTGCTAAGATAACTAATCCTGAGAGGACCAGCGTGTTAGATCAGCAGCTGAGGATGTTTTGGTGAAGTGACAATATGTGGCCAATTTGCTCCGTTTCATGTGTCATTTTTAAGGTTTAGGTTTGGACCAGAAGAGTTTTTAAAAGAGTGGAAGATTTTCCGCCGTGTGTCAGTTTGCTCAGCTGCTTTTTTAGAAGCTAAAATGTTTCAACCTATTTGGAGGATGTTTGGGGAACCAGGAAGCAATAAAACTATCAGGTTGTTGACAAATTTAAAGGGGAGGATACAGCAAAAAAGCAGGAAGATTTTCAAAATTCAATCATTTAGGTATTTTCTGTTGTGATTCTAGAGCTACACATTGGTGCTAAAATATCTCCACCTTAAAAATGTTGTCTAAAATATAATCAAATAACTATAAAGTGAGGACAATCTGAGTAAATATATTTATGATAAATCTATCCATTAGTGAAGCAAGTTAATGTAATCCTGAACCTGATAAGTAAGCAAAGCCACCATGCTGTTTCCTCACAAAATCAGTTTAATTCATCCAAACTGGAGGGTTTTAGGGACATAAAGACATAAAGAGTCCCTTAGTGTGCTTTTACATCTCCATCAGGTGTAAGATTTTGACCATGCCCCTTTAAAACCCTAATTTATTATCCAAATATGTTAAACAGATTGAATTTATACTCAGATTATAATCACAGACACCAAATGAAAGGAACTTGGGTTTTACAGCATCTGACCAGAGTTAAACATGCTTGGGCAACGTCTGCCTGTTCATGGATGAAGCTGTTTCACAGCTGTAGAGCTTGAGGCGAGAACTTTGAGTTATTTTTGGCCGGTATCAGTTGGAGGATTTCACGGAAACCAATTTCTTTCTTGTTAACTTGTCTTTAACAATAACTCTAATTAAAAGGTCGGTCATATTCAAATGTTTTTTTTTTTTATTGTATTCTCTTCATGATAACATGATTATCAGAAGATAATTAATTTTTTTTACATGCAATCAGTTAAAACTGCAGTG